CATCAATTTGGAGAAGTTATTTACTATCCCCTCACAGTTTCTTATTCATCCGGGGGTTCTCTTCACATTCCTTCTCGGTTGAGTCCAGCCTTCTCCACTTTGGCTCCGGACTGTCACAAAGGCCCTACTTTCTCCTGTCTCTGTATAAGAGGTTCTGTCTCTTTTAGAAGCTCTCATCCCCTTGGGTTTAGTGCACATATATTCCCTTCATTGGACGCATCTCGTCCCATTGAACTTCCCCCACAATCCCTTGGACCATCCTATCTCCCTTACACCTGGGATCAGAGTCATCTGAGCTTGGTGGTTCAAAAGGAACTTCACCACAGTGGGAGTTCCCATTCCTCCACCTTGTCCTGAGTCTCATCTGTTCACAGATGCTTCCTTGATGGGTTGGGGAGGCTTTTCTCAATTCCCCAAAAATTTAGGGTTGGTGGTCAGTCCAGAAGGCTACTCTCTATATCCACATCCTGTAATCTTTGGCAGTTCATTGGGCTCTGTATGATTTTTTCCCGATCCTGCAGGGGAGGGTGGTTATAGTCCATTCTGATAATTCCATTGTAGTCAGCTATATCGCCAAGCAAGAGGGAACCAAGTCCAGATCTCTGTGTTTTCAGAATGACCATGACATGTTAGCTCTGGCATATCATATTCCCAGAGTTATGAATCTTGTGGCAGATCAATTATCACAGTCCAACCAGGTTCTTCTCATGGAGTGACCCCTTCATCCTCAAGTATTTCTGTGGATATGTTCTCAATTGGGAACTCTGCATATATATATATCCTTCCCAATCACTGGAATTTCAAATTTCCTTCCTTTTTAGGCTCCAGTTCTTCACCTCTCAGCTCTGGAAGTGAAGGCTTTCAGTCAAGATTGGAGGGGTCTTCACTTATATGACTACACTCCAATTGGACTCGCTTCCTGCATGTTTTCCCTTATTTAGACCACTCCTTGTTGTATTCTGCTGGTTGCTCCATTTTGGCTGGCTTAGATGTAGTTCCCTTTATTATGGCTCTTGCTGGAAAAACAGCCCCTGCTCTTATCTCTGTCTGGATTGCTCCTCTGATAATAACAATTGGACATTTTTCATCCCAATTTCACCACACCCCAGCTTTCCATGTGACTTTTGTCTGGTCCCATGCCTCAGATCAGGTAGAGCTGTAGAGTCTTTCCTTGCCTGTACCATTTGCCCTTCTCTCTTGTGTATGTACCGGAGGCATTGATTTTACTTCAGATTTTAGTCTCTTTGTCTTGGCTTCCAACCATCTCATCCTTCTGTTCTTTACCTAGTTGTTTGATCAGGGTTTGTCTGTTGCAACAGTTGCTCTTTATAGGACTGTGCTGTCTAACACCTTCCATTCTCCTGTTTCCAGAAAGTCTTCTCTTCCTCAGTTATTTCCCTCCTTTTCCATTCCTTTCATCTGTTCCATCCACCACACTCCTTTGTTCTGCTGGATGGGGATCTACATGTTGTCCTTCATGCTCTGTCCAGTTTTCCCTTTGAACCTTATGCAATGTGTTCCTTGTACTATTTTTCCCTTCAAACCTATTTCCTCCCTACTCCTGGTATGTGGTCATCATTCCAATATTGATGCCATTAATGTTTCCTACATCCTTTACCATTCTTCATATGTTATCTGCTATTCAGATCAGGCTTTCCATCCCAGGACATGATCTGCTCGGGAAGGTTGTTTAGCCTTTTATCCTAATTTCTTACCTTCGTTTTCCCATCTGTACTCCCACTTGGATCCAATTTGTCTACTTTGTCCAGTTTATTTTTCCCTATATTATATGGCTGGTACTGACTCCTTTCAGGTTCTCGTTCCTGTCTATTTGTTCCATGGATTTCCTGTCTTTCCGTGATCTTTCACCCATTACACTCACTGGTTGGGTTTGTCAACTCATACGATTGGCATATTCTGACATGTCCATGGAAGGTTGCCTTCTACATAATGTTTCTTCACACAAAATTCCTCATCTACATAATATGTCTTTAGCTGCTCGACACCACCGTCTTTTGGAGGAGATCATTCAGGCTGGTATGTGGACAACTCCCAATACATTTGTTGCTCTTTATCTGCACAACATAGCTGTGTCTTACTCAGGCGGGTGTCATCTTCCTTACTCCCGTGGCAAGTCTACACAAGTCTATTCGCCTTTGACTGGGGTAAGTTGACATATTATTATAATGTATCTTATTTCATTGATATACATCATATTTCAGGATCCCACCTGGTGGCAGGTGTTGCCTGGTCATGTATGCTGAATATTATATCTTATATGTATACTTCTATAACACTCACTGTAGAGATAGGGTATTTCCATAAGAACACTGGCCACTCGCTTACTCAGTGGTGTGTGATGGGGATTTTTGCCCATCCCTACTGACTTATGATTCTTACAATTGGGGTCTTTCTGCTTTTCAAAATAGGGAATCACAGACACCCAACACGTATTTCCCCACCCCTCACTTCTGGTTCCTGGTCACTGCAGTGGTAGACCATGTAGTTTTCCTCAGGAGTGGGGTTTGTACAATAAACTAAATCAAGATTCATAGCTCATGTACCCACTTAGTGAGAAATGGGCTATCATCATTATACTTATTGATTATGCAATAACATAATTTTCTGGATCCAAGGCTCTTCCTCCTGATTTTTTGCCCAGGCTGATTGCACTTGTTGATCACAAAATAAATTTTTTATGCAAGGTGCTTTCATTGGATATTTTCTGCCCAGATGGACCGCATTTGACACAATCCAACATATCCCAAGGCGCTTCCTCCAGATGCTTTTTGCCTGTCGGACTGCATTTGGCCTATTCATATATATTTTGTAGTCCTTTAGCCCTAGCCACATATAGTTATATGTTATTATCAGGCACCTTTCTAAATTCTAACTATCATTGTGTCTCATGCTCACCCTTGTTCCTTATGTGGACGACTTAGGTACTATATGTTGTCCACGGGTGGAATGTGTATTACATGACACGGTGCCTGACTATTATGTTTCACTCTATATGTTTTATGGTGTTCCTTACTGGGCAAAGAGCATACCTGTTCCAGAAGTAGTGCTATACCCCACTGGTGTACTTCCTTTCCTAATTATGGCACACCTGTTCTTTCACAGCAGTTGTTCTCTGCTTGTTTGACTACTGTTGAGCCTTCACCGTCTCCTCCACCTTTCCAATGTGGGATTCTAGCTTTGGGTGAGAGGAGATAGTACTGTTTCAGGAGTTAGCATTTTCTAACACTGAAAATGTATTTTGCACCCACTTCCCACCCTTCCTTCCCACTGATATACTGGTGTTTCTAGTTTGTATCTGTCAATTCTCGAATGTGAGGACTGTGCTGGAATGGTAGAGGGAGCTACCTGCTCTAGTATAGGTGGTGCAGTATGATTAGTGGAGGGTAATCACATGATCAGCATATGTTGCTGCAATGGTGCAAAAATGACTGGTGCACTGTTGGAAATTTTAGAAATGCTTAGAGGGCAAATCAAGGTCAAGATAGCTTTGGGTGAGAGAGGTAAGTACCTATCGGAAATATGTTTTCAGTGTTAGAAAATGTTAACATCTGGTGGTTAGGATTCCATATCAAACCTAGTTCGTTTAAATCTTTCCAGATTTATAAAAAATTATCTTTTTAGCAGTGGGGTTTAAGTTTTTATTGTTATTGTTTGATAATAGCATGTTTTATAAGTATACAATGAAAATTGTTTTTCTAGAATCATTTAATACCTACTTTGTAGAACTCTACTGATAGTATGAATTTTTGTACTTTTTTCTGTAATTCATATGCTGCATTATCATCATAATGGGATTTCACTTCTTGGTGGATTGAGTATTGTTAATAAGTTCTGGGCTTTAGATGGAGCTGCATTATCACCTTATTTGGGTTTCACTTCTTTGTAGATTGTGTATTTTTAATGTTCTGGACTTTACTTGGAACAATCATAGCACTATATTTGGGTTTAACTTCTCGGTAAATTGTTTATTTCTATTTTTCTGGGCTTTACTTGGAACAATCATAGCACCATATTTGGGTTTCACTTCTTGTTAGATTGTGTATTTTTAATGTTCTAGACTTTACTTGGAACAATCATAGCACCATATTTGGGTTTCACTTCTTGTTAGATTGTGTATTTTTAATGTTCTAGACTTTACTTGGAACAATCATAGCACCATATTTGGGTTTTACTTCTTGGTGGATTGTGTATTTTTAATGTTCTAGACTTTACCTAGAACTGGCTTAGCACCATTTGGTGAAATTATGTGTTGTTAATATTTTATGGACCTTGGCCAGAGCTGCACTTTCCTCTATCCTTCCTTACATTAGCACAGTGTACTGCATACACACATCCGTGATAATAGACTTATTTGAAAGACTATACAGTAAGAAAAAGAATGGCAGCTTTGTACTCGTAGCAGCAGAATTGGCATTAAATTGTTAAAAAAATACTATGGTAATAACTGATTATTGAAATTATATTAAAGATGAGTAATATTTTTACCTTATTTTGCTTGTAAACTATTTCATCTTGTTATTCATATAAAAGTTCTTCTGTGAAAGAAAAAATCTTGTTACTGAGCTACTTTGTGATACCTTTAATTTTTAATAAAAAGTCACTGTTGTTTTTGGCCTTCCTCCAAACCCACGGCTGATTTTCCATTAGCCCACTCACATGCCTGTTAATAGCATGAAATGACAGAACTTGATTTATTTAAATAAACAGATAAACAACATTATCATTTTAATATCATTGAAATTAAGGTACATGAAAATATTTTTATCATCAAAATATGAATGTGTATTCTTAAAAAATGGTTTGTTTCAAAACTTTTTGATCAGTATAAATATTATAACACTAGTAAATCAACTGTTTTTCTTTGAAACTGTAGTTAGTGTTCATCTGTTCAATATTTCCTCAGCAAAAAAATAAATAAAAGGGAACTTTGGCCATATTTAGACTAAAATTTACTTATAGTATATCAGAAAGCCGTTATCTTTGTTCTCTCTATATTTTAGTTTGGGGTAATGAAAGCCTTAAACAACAGTATCTAAAAAATGATTATTGTGTAATAATTTACTTATCAAATGATATGTGACTTATACATCTATTAGAAAGTTTTATAAATTGGCAACACTTGATTGAATTTGCTTCCATTCAAGAGTAATTTTCATATAAAGGAAAATATCAGAAAGAAATCTCTTGATTAAGTTTTTCTGAACAGTACTGGTATTTTAGTTAGTGCTTTTGTTTCTTCTTTCAAAGTTCCAAAGGGTTTATTGTAGTACTGATCCCTCTGTTTCATAGAAACATTCAAGATCATTGAATAATTTCACAGAATATCTTCTGTGAAGAATTTTGGTTGGTCCATATTACTTGTTTGGTGGTTGTAACAGGCCCAAGTAAGTAGAACTTTACTGAAAACACAGAAGTTTTTGTCAGTTTTAAATTTTTCTTACAGCTTGTGAATATTGAGTGGGAACTACCTGGTACACATACGTATAAATGTAGCTTATTATCTTGCTTCAGTGTTGTTTGTGAGAATGAGTACATGGAATTCAGTAATTCTCCAAGATCATATGTGAATGTATTTCTCTTTAATGAGTACATATATTTTAGCATGTTGTTGTTTCTCTTTAGTCTGTACATGTATGTATGACTGACAATAAGTTTCAAAAAAGGATGCAATAGTGAGTAAAAATTTAAAAAAAAAGATTAATATCACCAAAGTGAAAACTTTTATTGGATAATATTTTGAACAATCAAGCCTTGTTTGCACCTGTCAGCACAGTAGGTAAGTACTTACACTAGTAGTTTAGGTAGTTACCTGTTGTCTGGACAGTAGTAGTATGGTCACCACGTGGAGATAAACTTTAAGTGAGCTACCAAATTAACAGTTTTATCTGAGCGTTTGCACTAATTAAGTTAGTTTTTTTTCTATTAGGTCTTACTCGTTCACCAAAAAATAATAAATTTTCAAAAATAATTACATTTTAAATATGTGGGTGACATCATATTTCTTCATTGCAGTTCTGTAAACAAAAATTCAGAGTGAAAACTTTGTGAAAAGAAAATGGGGTTAAGAGTATTTTTGGGTGCATCTTTACATAGGTGAGGTCATATTACTTTTTTCAAAGGGGCTGTACTTATAAACTTTAATTGGCCAATGTACAGACGCTCATACATATCAGTAGGCACGTAAGATCAAGTTGATTAAAGAAGAAAAACGTTTTTCCGGTGCATTCAAATTATGACAGGCACTTGACACAGTAATACACTTCTCTGAAAGTTTAATTTAAAAAATATATACCATAATTCAACCAATAAAGTATTTGCTCATAAACAACACAAAATTGTATTTATTTGATTTTTATATAGTTAAGTTTTGTAGGTTTGTGCTTGTACTGATCATGTTTTAAAAGTTAAGAAAACATTCAGTCATAGACATAGTAACTCTGTCTGTCAGTTATGTGTATCTTGCTTCTACCCTGCAAACCTTGTACGTTGATTTTTTCTGCATCTGTGTAATGACTGTAATGGAATAGCTTATCTGTATATTATTTTTGAGTTAACTCATATTATACACTTGGACATTTCAGCAATGAAGGAAGCTACTCAAGAAGAGAAAAACCTAAATTCAGAAATCCAAGCTTTGAGAGAGAAGATAAAGAAGTGTGAACAAATCATTGATCAGCAGGAACAGTTGTTGCAAGTTAGAATAATAGTTGTCGACTTACGTATTTGTTACTATAAGAACTGGGTGATTAATGGATTGATTGTCGTGCTCATTAATTGATTACATTCAACTAATTGATTATTCTCACATAAGACTCAGATACTTGAAAATAGTAATAATCAGAAACATTAAGTTTGATTAGTTTATTATTTTTGTGACATTATCCCTTTTGAAACAGGCTCATGTACTTTACACAGTCTTCTAACCACCATGTAAAATTTGGGCAAGTTTTCAGTAAACATAATTCTTTTGTAGGCAAAAAATCAGAATATCTAATTTACCCATTCTACATGGGCTCAGTCGAATTGACTGACCATGTGGCCACTTTGTACTAGTTTAAAGTCATTATAATTTTTATACTACTAATTTTTAATATAGTATGTGCAGCTTCACAATATTTGGCAGACTTTCAGTAACTATTACAAGTTTTTTACATACAAAAAATAATTTTTTTAATGAAATATTTGTAATAAACTAAAAAATTATTTGTCTGTGAATATATCAAGTCTTTTTTAGACTAGTCCGAGTGTAAAGTGATTTTAATGTTAAGAGTAAAAATACTTTTCTTCATCTCAAAAATATCAAATTTCATTACATAATCTCTAAAACCTCCTACACACATTTCAAATGCTTTTTTTTTCAGTAAAACTTTGTTTTATTTATTATTTTCTCTAACCTAACTATACAAGATTGGTCATAATCACCAAAAAAAAAAAATAATCAAAATTAATCTAATTTATCCATTTTATATTTCTAGAATGACTTCAAATTGTAACATGAAACTACATTTGTTTATTCTAAGTAGCTTTAAACTCATAACAGTATTCATTAGGGATATACGGATACTTGGCCAGATATTCGGCCCTGGCTGAGTGTCTAAGCCCTAATCTTTTCGGCAACTAACACGGTACTGAAAGTTACAGCCAATAATTGGTTTAGTTTATTAAAAATATATGTTTCGAGCAACAAAAACTGACTGCCCGCTTAAAGTCAAAGATTCGGAGAACAATAGGGGTTAATAACAGGCATGGCTTGAGAAGTGGATTTCTGGGGAAGGTGGGGGTTTTGAGAACAATAGGGGTTAGGGTTTGAAAAGTTGGGGCTAGGCATTGAAAGTTGAAAGTAAAACTTGAATTCTGTTGGTGATTATTTGGTTAAATGTAATAAACGTCAATTTTTGTTTTTGTTTCTATTTTTTTGTGTATGTTGTTTTTTTTCGGAGGGGAGGACAAGGGGAAAACCCGCGCTAAAGCTTAGTGACCCGGACCCGGCATTCGGCCAAATTTTACTACACATGCATCCCTGGTATTTGTCTATTTATTCTTAAATTTTATTGTTGTATTGCTCTTTGAACCATGTCTAATTACTATTATTGCCATTATAAGTTGTAAACCACTTGGGAATAGTAAACATGGCTCATGTTATGCTGTTGAATTACATTACCCACGAGCTGCTTGTGCTAGAGTCTGATGAAAAATGTTTATTATACTATTATTTATTTTACCTAATTAACCCTATTTTTTTGCTGTCAACCGTGGATGACACTTAGGATAATAACATGCAAAAAGCAGAATATGTCCCATAACTATTGCAGTTTTTCTGGCTTTCTAACTGTGACAAGAGTCATTGGAAATTCAGCTAAGCTCATCGATGTATTTCCCATGGAAATAAAGCTTCAATTGAAAGTGAAATCAACAATTTCTGTACAGAAAACAATGAAATATAATACACATCGTTTGTTAGACGAAAACCTTGGCTTTCTATTGGTTATAAATAATATAGAATTAAACGTAAGGAGAACTATTAACAAATCCTGAAAGAGAGGATGTGACAGGTGTTTGTGGCAAGAGGGGTCTGATTTTCTATTTGATGGCTTTGTAACCAAACAAGATTGAGAGCTATAATAATTATGCTTTGTCTGCACGATGACAATATTAAAGTGAGTAATTTATGTTAAATTTCATACTTATTGAAGGGGTGATGAATAAATTAGAGAAGAGGGGATGCCTAGAGAAAAAATGTCAAAGTTTTCTGTGGGGTTTTTTTTTTTTTTCCTAGAAAAACTATATATTTTATCTGTTATTTTCTGTACCATAATTCTCTGTGTTGTCAGCCTATTTGACCAACCTTGTAACCACCATAAAAACTTAGGAAATAAATCTAAATTACCTTTCTTTCTTTGTAAAATGACTTTAGATTGTAACAGGAAACCATAATTGTTTATCTTAAATAGCTTAAAGCTTGTAACAGTATACATATTGTTATACTTAATTTTGTTGTTTTATTGTCCTTTGAACCGTGTCTCACTAATAACCCTGCCACACAAGTTATAAATCATTCAGCAACGTAATTACATAATGCACGAACTGCTCGTGAGCATACCTCATGAAAAATATTATTATTTTTAATTTTCTAACCCAATAAGTTTCTAATTTTTACATCTTAGTTACTTTTGTTATAATAAATAGAGAATACACAAGAAATATAGTACTTACCTGTGCCTTTTTGTTTTTGCTGTTGATTGTTGATGAATATTAAGCCTACTTTTTCATACTAATGGTACTAACACACTAAATAATTTGTTGTTTAATTATATACTGCATCTAAAAACATGCAAAAAGCAAACAATGTCCAATAACTATCATAATTTTTCTGGCTTTCTAACTATGTGATAAGAGACTTTAAAAATTCAGCAAAGCTTGTCAATGTGATTGCCATAAAAATTAAGTTGAAACTGAACAACAAAATGCCCCATACAGATAAAAAAATCTAATATGATACGTTATTTGATAGATTATAATAACATTCTATTGATTATAAATAATATAGTATAAAATGTCAGAGAGAACTATTGACACTTTGTAAAAGAGAGGATGTGATAGATGGGTGGCAAGTGGGTCTTATTTTACAGTTTATGGCTCTGTAAACAAATAAGATTGAAGACTATAAAAATTATGATTTTTCTGAGTAATATGTATATTATAATAAGTAATATACATTAAATTCCGTATTTCTCAGAGTGGTAGTAAATAAATTGTACAAGAGGGAAGACTTAGAAAACAAATGTCAGGATTCACCTACTAGGGGAGATTGAGGATTTTTTTTAAATATTTCATTATATAATTAATAAGTTAAAACATATATAACTAATATTTGATTTACTGACTATGTTTTAATGCCAAGTTTAGTTGTATACATTGATAATAAAGTAGCATATTTTGAATGTAACTCTATAAAAGATTTTGACATGCTCACTTTGACCTCTAATTAAAAAAAGACTATGGAAAACTGTACACCATATAGGTTTCATAAACAAAAATTAACATTGATTTTGGTTTACAGCTTGTAATACATAATGCTCCATCAGTAGTTACAGCCTGTTGTGCTAACCCCAGTAAAAATTTACAACACATGAGGCTACCCCTTAAAGAAAAAAATCCTATGGATATATGTATGTAACAGTAAACCAAAAAAATTTCCACTACAGCAATGCCACTATTAATTACTCTTGTTAGTGGGAGTATATTCACTGTTATTTCCAGATTTTTGTTTATGTATTATACAGTAGTAACTAGAGCTGAGTGATTAACTCATTAACTGTCTTATAACGGGCCCATTAAGTTGGAAGCTCTCCAACCTGTGTTGTGATTAGAATTCATACCCTGTTTATTAACTGCAGAGTTACCTACCTTTGTTATATATGCCACACTGTAATTACAGTTTAGCAAATCCTAAGGCTGTTATCCAGGTATTTCAAATAATAAGCCTTTGTAACATCACTGCAAAAATATGTAGAATATCATTATTGAAACAGGGTATTTTCTTTAAGCATGTGAACAGTTTGGAAAACTATGTAAAACAGTAGTGGTTGTATTTTATATACTATATCAATGTATTTTTAAAAAGTATTATGGTCTGTGCAAAAGGTGGTGTAATAATCAGAGATGAAAGTATTCCGGATATATCCGGAAATCCGGATATTTCTAAAAAATCCTGAAAACCTCCGGTTTTTTTCCGGAGAAACACATTTTTTAAAATTATTTATCGATTTTGGTGTTCCATACCATAGATAAGCGTTTATGCAATCGTGCGGTTTGTTTACCATTTTGTAGTCTCGCAATGCTTGCTGGCGTGTACGAGACCTTGTATGCTTATAATGCAAACTTCGTGTCATGTGAACGAGATTTTATCTCAAACTTGCTTTAGAAAACGCAGTCATTCTTTTGTGTACCTTTCTATTGAGCGAGACAATTGAAGAGCCTTAACTATTCAAAGGTGTTTACCGAAGCGATAATAGATCAAATGAAATGTACAAACAAGTAGATAGGTCAGCGGATATCGGTAGCATAGAAGGAAAGGTAAAGAACAAGTTCAAATAGTCATGGCTGGAGGAAAAGGATGTAAATGGTGACTTTGTGAGGACAGTGGACAGGCCAGGAT